AAGCCGACGACATGGAGAGGCCCTGAGCTTAACTATAAACTGTCGCCCATTATCACAGCCCCAGGGAAAAGTTACAGGTCAAGTTTAAGTTCTGTGTCATATTCAAGTCTAAAGGAGTTAAAGTCTGAAATCAGACCCCGTTGCCGGATGAGCTCAGAAGCTGCCCTCCCTGGTTTCTCACTCAGCTGCTCTCGGTGGAGGGGAGTCTGCCTGGTGGAATAGGTTCTTTCAGAGCCCTGGCCTGGCTCTGTCACACACAGGTCCACTTGGGCCCTTCAGGGCCTCAGACACTGCATTGTTCTCTCGCACCTCAGGAGACTGGGCAGCCTTGGACACGGGTATCCCAGGCAGCAGGACGCCGAGGACACTGGCAGAGCCCGGGGAAGTCTGAGCAAAGCTGGTGGTCAGGGATGACCTTGTCTTGAGCTGTCGTGCAGGATGGGCGACTTCAGAGCTTCAGCTAGGATGAGAATTTAACCTCCCAGTGAGGGGTTAATTTTGGTCCTAGGCATTTACCATCTTAATGTCCGTTTCCACAGAAGCTGCCCCTGTTCTTAGGTCTGCGGTTTGGAATTGGGGACGCCCCTTTGGGGACAGGTGCCCTCACTCTCCTGCGAGGAGGCACTTTCCATCCTGGGCCACAGGACCTGTCCTCCAGTGTCTCTTACTGTGGAGTCCCGGTCCCCGGATGCCTGCTGCCTAGAGCGGGTGTCTCCCTCCAAGGCCTGAACCACCGCAGAGCCAAGCAGAGACCGGCAGTTGGGAGGGACTTGGGCCCAGGGAGAAGCCGCAAGATTCCGGTCAAGGTTGCTGTTCTGCGGCCTCTGTGACCCTGAACGTGGCATGGAGTCAGATGGTGGTTCTGACATGCCCATCTGGGCCTGGCCCTCATGCTCTGAGAAATCCAAAGGGCCTGGAATGCACCGTGTTTCTGACAACTGAGTATTTCCCCAGCCAGGTACTTAGGAGACGCCGTTCCTTGAGCCCTGGTCTCTGCTCTCCAGGCCCCCTCGAGCTAGATCCTTACCCCAGTGGTGGTGCCCCGCTGGGCTGGGCTGAGCTCACTGGGGAGCCAGGGGCCAGGAAGCAATCGGACTCTGTAGAACGAACAGAGCTGCCCTAGCGCCATGCGTCCCCCAGGGCCACACTCCTACGGGGACCAAACTCCTCCAGCCCCATGGCCCTAGCCTCACCACCTCCTTATTTTGAGCCCCCGATTCCACACGTTTGCTTGATTTCTTGGTCCCCAGCCTGTCACTCGATGTTGGGGTCCCCATCAGTAACCCCTCTCCCCTGCGTGCCCAGGCTCAGAACAGGTTGAAAGGAGAACAGAGAGGAAGACTGGGTGGTGAGGATGCATCCTGACGGCAGAGGGAGCCGCCTTTGGCGGGGAGCTTAGATGGGCGGGCCTGAGGCTCAGTGTCTGGTGCGGGTGTCCAGGACCGTCTGCAGAGGTGGGCCGAGCCCCAGCTGGGTCCTAGCTGCGCAGGGCCGGCCCTGGAGAGCAGAAAATACTTGTGTGCAGGGCCTTCTGCTCTCCCCAGTTTTCTTCAAAAGCATCTTCTTAAGTTTTGTTTTCTGCTATTCCCCCCCACCCCCGACCTTTTGTTCATAGACTACCCCCCACCCCGGCCCCTTTGCCCGTATACCACAGGGACAGTGGTAGGAGTGATAGCAGTAATAGTGACCAGGTTTCCTGCATGCTGACTGCTGGGCTCTGGGCCTGGTGCCCTGCCCTGCCTGTACTAACTCACGTGCACCCTCCTTGTGGTGACTGGCCTGCACTGGGGCACAGAGAGGCAGGGCAGGGCTTCTCGTTGGGTGGTGGCAGGCAGTCAGCCTTTGCAGCTAAATGGGGCGCTCTGGTTTGGGGCTGGCACGGTTGGCCGCAGTGGTGAGTTTTCCTGCTGGAAACATGTGGGACTTATATTTAAGAGTGACTTGATTATGTCATCACTGGAGCCTAGATGTAGTTTTATAGACATGTTTCTGTCTTTTAAGATTATTTAAAAAAATGTTTTTATTTTCCCTGGCCGATGTAATTTTTCTTGGGGGCTTTCCTCTTTGATGTGGACTGGAAAAGAATGTTACCATTTGAAGATCTCTCAAAACGTGTCTTCGGATTTGTTGTCCGTACAGATGGAAATTCAGATAATAGTTCTGTTCTTAACTGAAGAAAAACAGGAAAAGAAAATAAATTTCTTGCTACTTGGGATGATAAACACGGTGGAGCATATGCCGTATATCCTGACAACAGAAATTCAAGGTCGGGAATAATTTCTTTCCTCCTGAGTCTGCCTTCAGCTTCCCTGAGGAGTGCAGGAGCTGAAATTTGCTCCTAATTGTAGCCGTAATTTTAGCCTGCAATTAAACACACGATTTCATCCCAGCTGATGTCTTTTTAGCTCTTCTGACATGCATAACACAAAAGCTCTGTAGATTTGAGCGGCCACTTTAATCTGATGGGAGGTCACAGGAAGTCACCGTTATCTGAGCACGATGGCTGCCCAGTGGGAACTAGATTCATCTTGCCTCTAAAAAGGGCACACAGCTCGTCTTCTCTCGGTTTCCAGGGCTACTGTCTGTGCCTGTTCTGCTGAGTCCCTCTGAGGTCAAGGGTCATCGGAGCGAGTGCCAGCGCAGGGGCAGAGTCAGGCTGGTGGGAGTCCCTTGCTGCTGCAGCGGGTCTGGTATCCAGAGCCCCGGAGCTGAGCTGCTCTGAGGAGGGAGCTGGAGGGGCTCCTGGTCCAGGCCTGTCCTGGGCTGCTCTTCTCCTCGGCCTGTCCTCCGGTGGTCGGCCTGTCTGTCTGCCCAGGGGTCAGCCATCTCCCCGGAGGCCAGCCTGTCTCCCCAGGGGTCGGCCTGTCTCCCCAGGGGTCGGCCTGTCTCCCAGGGGTCGGCCTCTCTCCCCAGAGGTCGGCTCTCTCCCCGGAGGTGAGCCTGTCCCCCAGAGGTCGTCCACCCCATGAAGCGAGGGCTCCCTGCCCAGGGGAGCGTGGGGAGCACCAGAATGAAACAGGTTTCCCTCCTCCAGGTCCTGGGAGCCCGTCCTTGCTGCAGTGCATGGTGACCCCCAGGGCCGGCATGCAGGCGTGGTCCCCGAGTGTGATGCTGAGAGCAGACCCTGATTCTGCACAGGCACGTGCCGGCCGCGGCCCTGAGCGCTTCTGTGCTCGGTCTCCTTGAACTTTCACCATGACCCAGGGCTTCTCATTGGTCTCCCTGTGGTGCAGGTGGGATGCCGAGGCCTTGGAGCTGGTTGGGGGCTGGGTCCAAGTCCTGTTGCCCTTCACATCCTGAACCTGGTGGAGCCTCCTCCAGGGAGCCCCTCTGGTTCCCTCCCCATCCCCTAAGGGGAGGACTCTGACCTCTAGGGTCGGGATTCCTCAGGGTTGAACGGTGCTGCATCATCACCACCCTGCACCCATCTGTCGCCTGTGAGACCCTGGGCCATGAGTGCCGGGCTGTCTGCGCCCCTGAGCTGAGCAGGGTCTTCTGGTCTCCAGCAGTGAGCCTGGCGCTTCATTGCTGTGAGTTAATCTTCAGCGGGGCATGGATCTTGCCCTCTCTCTGCACCTTCATGGTGGGAGGGAGCAGAAGGGCTCACACTGTCTTTACTCTGTGGACCCAGCACCTTCTCCCTGTTGGGTTGATCAGGAACGGTGTGCAGTCACTCGAGCAGGTGTCCGCGTGTGTCATCAGCTGCGTTTGGACCCAGTGCACATCAGAAGTTCTCGGGTAGATGGATGCAACGTTCGGATGATTGCGCGGCACCAGCTCTCAGAGCGTGTGCTGGGCTTTCTTTACAAACGTCGTTTGTGAAGAACGTCGTTCAGCATTCGGGGGTTGATCAGATACCGTTTGATTGATCGGACACAGTTGGCGTGGGTTTGGGTTAGAAGGTTCGGAGTAGGACATGGAGAGGCGCTCATTTCTGGGGTGGTCCGTGGCCACTTTGAGGATGCACCCCGGGAAGCAGGATGGCTCTGCAGCCTCGCTGGGGTGAGGCGGGACGTGGGCCCAGGGGAGCCGAGTGGCCCCCAGCTCTGGGCAGTCCTGTCCTGCGAGGACCGAGGTGTCCCCTCGGTACTCTGGCCTGTGGGACCTTCTGTAGGTTGACCTGCCTTTTGGCCTCACGGTGAGGGACCCCCCTCCGCGTCTTACACAGAGGAGCCCGCCGGCCGCTCACAGGGCCGTGTATGAGGTTGTTCTGGGGGAGCCTCCTAAGCTCCTAAGCTCTTTGTTTAAAAACGTTCGTTAGGAAACATGCAGAGAACAGACACCGGCGGCTCACTGGCCAGGCAGCCTCGTGCTTCACGCGTCTCTCAACTGCCCTGCCCCCCCGCCCATGTGGAGGTCGCTACTGCCCTGCCTTTGCCGTTCGTCTTCCTGCCGTGTTTCTTCATGCATCTCTCTCCACAAGTGATGGAATTTGTTCTGGTGTTTGAACATACCATCTAAATGGTGTTGCACTGTTGTGTCCTTGCCACTGTTTAAAGATCACGTTGTGGGTTTGAGATTTGCTGCGTTGACAGGTGTGGCCGCCGAATGGTATTCTGTGGGAGAATTCAGGCAGAGATTCTGCATTGGTTCCCCTCCAGGACAGTCACACTGCGTCCACTTTCTCTCTTATAAACAGTGCCAGAGTGAACACCCTTGGCTGTCTCCTTTTGGATAAGAGATTCTAGAGCAGACGCCCCAAAGTGGAATTCCAGGCTTGTAGGGTTTGTTTAGCGTGAACTTGACCTCCACAGTGGTTGTACACTTGACCTTCTCAGTGTCTCACAGGCCTGTTAACCCACGTTTTCCCTGACCCTGCCCTCTTGCCAGGTCTGCAGGGCATGCGGAGGCCCTCTGCCGTGTGGTTTTGTGTTTTCCTTACTCAGGGGCGCAGAGGGGGGAGTTGGGCGGTCCTGCTCCCGGGTTTCTGATTACACTGATCGAGGTTAGCTTTAATCTGAGGTCTCCAACTCTTGTGACCGTTGGAATTGCTCTTACAGACGGCAAGTTCGGTGCCTACATGCAAGTTCACATTCAGAACGATGGGCCTGTGACCATTGAACTGGAATCTCCGGCTCCTGGTGCTGCTACCTCCGACCCAAAGCAGGTAAGCCCAGAGTCAAGGGTTGGGTCTGTCTCCTGGGAGCCGGTAACATCTTTTGGCCTTGACTTAGTTCCTGGAGCACTTCTGAGTCTGAGGTGGAGAGAACGCCTCATCGTAGTAACCTAGAGTTTATTCGCTACATCCCTTCCCGAGAACGCACCTGTCGCCCCGCATCTCCGTGCTCGCCTTGCCTCCACCTGACTCCATTCCAGAGCCCAGTCCGTCCTCCTCCAGGCCGGTCCTGGGCGAGGTGCCTGGGCGTCCACAGGCCGCTGGGTGGCAGCAGAGGAGTGGCACGGCTCCCCTCGGCCGGACCCGGTTCCCGAGTGTGGAATGGTTGCGTGGAGTGGGTTTATCCCAGGTGTGGGTAAATGTGCCACCTGAGGGTCTTTGTAAATCCTTATTTTTCTAAAGCAACGTCTGACCTGGATTTGCTGCCAACTCTGTAAGCTTTCAGAAAAAATTTAATTAAACTAGAGAAAGGAAATCTGTGCTAGTCCTTGTGAGCTGTGTGCTTCTCATAGGTGCTTAGCACTTCTGAAGGCTTTAATTAATGCAGCTGCTCTGTGGCCTTTGAGAGGCAGGAGGGCAGGAGTGAGAGCTGGGGGCGGGCAGCCCTGTTCTCCCCCGACCCCCGCCTTCTGGGACACCGAAGTGGAAGGATGCAGGGGTGGTGGGGAGCATTATGTAAACGTAAAGCTCTGTGACCTGTTCAAAGTCATCATTTCCCAGGGGAACAGACCTTTTCTTTTATGTTACTGATTCTTTGGATTTATAGAGAAGCAGGAACACATCTGGCGCAGTGGTGCTGGGCTTGAAAGGTGATAATTGAGGTTCCTGGAATTACTGATAACATGAAAGAAAATCACAAGTGAAAAGTCCACGTGAAAAATTAAACTTTTTATTTTGATGTAACTTGAGACTTACAGGCAAGTTGAAAAGAGTGGGTTTCCATACGCCCTTTACCCGGCATCCCCCAAATTTCCTGTTTTATGTGATCACAGTCTACTCATCAAAATGTCAACGTTAATATTGATACAATACTGTTGGCGACGCTACAACCTTACTTAAGTTTCACTAGTTTTCTCTAGTGTCCTTCATCTGTTTCAGGACAATCTGGGATCCTTCATGGTGTTTACGGCCTTCCCCCTTCCTCATGGCTTTGGTCTGCTGCTTCTGTAGAATGTTCCTCGGTTTCCTTCCCTGTGGTTACACTGAGGTTGTGCATTTGACAGGTTCATCTTGACCTGGTTTCGCAGGATACCGGCCTCTCCAGGTTTCCTCTTGCCCCTGGCTGTTCTCCTTCTGCTTTTATTTGATCACTGTTTTGTTGTTTTGATTTATTATTCTGCTTCAGCTGTATTTGGAGAGAAAATTTAGTCAGGTTTTTTACATTCTAAATATTTTTCTAGAAGTGATAGAATAATACATGAAATCTTTAGGCTCTTCAACCTTCTTGAGCAAGCACCCCCTCTTTTCTTCTTTACCATAAAGAAAAAGACAACATTTTTAAAATTTATTAACAGGCCATGCTAACTTGTGACAATAAGAAAGTTAGTTTCGTTAGTTCTGAATCTTTTAGGAGCTTTCTCTTCAAATGCAGGAATTGTCCTGAGTCAATTTCAATTACTTGTTCTAGTTAATGGACTCCAGAAGCCTCAGACCCTATAAACTGCCCAGATCTCTGTCCCCGAGCTGTCAGGAGGTACTGATAGGCAGGCACAGGGAGCTCTGGGGTGGCCTGTCTGCCTTCCCCCTTTCAGTAAGAACAGGCTTCCTCTTCGGGCTTATAGCTGTTTTGTTCACTTTTGTGTTGTGTTTTAAAATACAGGTTCTTTAAACCTGAACAAATGAACAATGTGTGTGTGTGCTTTTTTTTTCCTAATTGAAGTGTAGTTGATTTGCAATGTTGTGTTAGTTTCTGCCATACAGAAGAGTGATTCACTTATACGTATATCTATTCTTTGTCATGTTCTTTTCCATTACGGTTCATTATAGGATATTGAATATAGCTCCCTGCTCTACAGTAGGTCCTTGTGTGTGTGTATGTGTGTGTGTGTGTGTGTGTGTGTGTATTTAGGCATCAGGTGTCTTTCTAGTGTGTGGCAGTGTGTTGGGGTGGGGAGGAAGTGCCGTGACCCGGTCCCTGCTCCGGGGACAGATTCAGGGCAGCATAAACCAGGAAGGTTCTTGACAGTGACGGGGGTAAAGGACAGTGTCCGACAACTTGGGACATATCACAAGGACACCACTTCATGCTCTGCCTTAAACCCCTCAGTGCCTTCCAGAGACATCTGGGTTCCAACCTGAGCCATGTGCCTGGCTGCTGTGGCTCGCGGCCTGCTCTGCACCAGTCCCCTCAAGACCCCCACTTCCCCTGCCTCTGGACTCTGGTCTCAGCGTTTGTCTCCTCCTCGGAGGGTATCCTCTGACCCCTCAACCCCAGTGATCCCCCGTCAGCCACTAGTCCCGTTGCTCTGAGTCTTTTTCACTGCCTGGGGCTGAGCCTGGGGTGCACTTTGTTCTGGAGTCGTGCGTCCTGGACCCGTGAGCTGTGTGTCTGTGAATGTCCTTCTGGCACTGCCTTCGGCACAGAGCTGGCCTGGACTCCCAGGGGACTGGTGGTTTTGCTGACCTTTAAGGATGTGAGGTGGGGGGAGGAGGCATTCTCAGTTGTTGTTTCCAAACTTGCCCTTGAAATAGGGCTAAATTCCTTTTTTAAGAGTCCCAGAGCTCTATGGGTCATGCAGCTACTGCTGGTGAAGACTGGGCTTGTAAAGGCAACTCGTTGTGTGCCCGCCTTAACCAGCTCTCTGCTCGTGTCCGGAAGTGGCAGCCCCTGCACGTTTCCCATGGCTGCATGGGCACCGCACCCAGTGCAGTAGGGGCTGCAGTGTGGGTCCCCTGATGTTCCCGACGGAGAGGAAGTGGAAGAAGAGGGGTACTGCTCGCTCTGAGGGACATCCCTCGAAAAACGGGGTGGAAGCAGTCGCAGAGCCACCAGACAGAAGGCAGAGGCTGTCTTCCCCACTGCACTTTTGTGGAAGAACATGGTTCTGGTAGGAACATCCTGATTGTAACCTAGAGGAGGTTGGCTAGTGCGTGAGTTCTTCTGTGGGTGTCTAGATACAGGGAAATTTCAACACCCTTGCCAGCCGGGCCTGTGGGGAGAAACTTACTGTTGCTCTTGTTTTCATCTTAATTGCTTTCCCTTGGCCGGGGGTGTTTTCCTGAGTCTCACATGGTTGGGATTGCACGTGGTGAGAGCAGGTGGGGGCTTCCCCCCCACCCCCCCAGGAGGGCATTTCAGTAATTGGAGGGCTCTTTCCTGGGGCTCAGGGCCCACCTAGTTCACCGTGTTGCCATTAAGTGTTTATATTTTCACTGATTTAGCGGGCTTGTAAACCTCACTAAATTGAAAGGCTGGAAGGAGCTGAAAAAATGCACTTTCAAATACACATCCTTGAATTGGCTCATGAGTTTATTGACAGATCTCTGGGATAAGTTGACCAGTGAAGAATGGTGCCAGAGATTTTCATTTCATGCTTTCCTGATTATCACCCTCACTTCGCCTGTAACTTTCTCTGCACTCGTCTTATCAGCAAGCACCCATCCCTTTGCCCTGAAACCTTGGGACATCGAGATTGAGACACTGGTGGCTTCTGTAGGGTCATCTGTAGGGTCAGGAGGAAATGTGTGGGCTAGAGAGGGGGTGCGGAGGGAGCGCTGGTCAGCCTCATTTACCCGTACTTTTCAGTAACATGTGCTGCAGAGTCCAGAAGGTGAAGCGGAGGACGGGCCAGGACACAGGTGGCAGCCCCCCTGCAGGTGCACAAAGGTGGGTCTGAGTTACCGCACAGCTCAGTATGAGGGACGGTCTACCGAGAAGTGTTCTGAATATACGGAAGAGTTATACTGATGCCCATATGTTTGCATTTCTTCACGGAGGAACGTTTATTTAAATGTACGTATTCCCTTTTTCGTCCTGTTTTAGGCTTGAACTCTGGTGCGAACTCCCCGGTCTCTGTTGGTGTCAGTGTGAGGTTTTGCGTGGCCTGAGCCAGGCCACAGAGCAAGCTTCTGGGTCTGGTTGCCACAGTGGCACTGGATCCTGTCCTTCACTCCAGTCGCTGGTTCATTGTGTCACATTGATTTATTGGACAAATGTTGACTGAGGGCCCTGCCTTGTTTATACTGAAGTGTTACTAAGACAAAAGCGGGAACTTAGCAAGAGCTTCATCACAGAGTTTTTGTTGCTGCTCGTGTTCATCTTTGTCACCGTGTCACCGTGGGTGTGCTGGTGACCTTGAGTCCTGGGACCTCACCTTGTACGGAAGCCTTCCCGATGGGGCAGGGCTGGCACCTGCCAGACCACTGGGGCTGCGGGCATCACTGCTGGTTTTCTCATCCTTTCAGCGTGAACATCCACTTTCCTGCATAACCATCTGGCCAAGGGTCAGGTTTGGAGGCTGGGGGGCTTCTCTGCTCCAGCAGCCAGGGCCCCTGCTGAGTGCCATCGGTGCATGGGCACCCTGCCCGGGGCGTGTGTGTCTGGCTGGTTGGAAGGGTTGGGAGCCTCATAGAAGTTTCCACCCAGGCTGGCTTCTTCCGAGTTGGGGAGCTGCAAGGGCTTGCTTTTGTTTTAGCATTTTAATTTGTTTTCATATAGATGGTTGTCCTAACTCAGTATATACCATAGAGTTAAAAAGAGGTCTTTCCAAGAGATGCATGACTGGCTCTGCCTGGAGACCCACTGATGAATTGATCAGTCGACAGAACTTCCATCTTTGCTTCATCAGTCCATAATGGGTCACTGAAATTGTGGAAACTGAAAAGAGTTTGTTTGCTGCTATTGGAATACGGCTGGTAAATTAAGAACTGCAATCTTCTCCCCTTCCACCTGTGACACATGCAACATTTCTTAATCTCCAACTAGAGAAAAACATCTGTTTTGCTTTAAATAACTCAGGGCACTAATGGGTCAGTACATTTAAGGCTTACGG